TGTTTCGAATGAATTGGCTGCAACCCCAAAACCCCAAAACCCCATAATGATTGATTTTTGTATATAATAAGTGGGTTTAAAAATAAATCAAGTGGGTAGCATCTCAAGTATAAGTATATTATTTATTTAAATTAACTTTTTATTCATAATAGTTTATTTTTGTTTAGCAATCGTAATGAAGGATTATTAATAGTCTGAAAATCAAAAAGAAATGAAGAGGCTTCTTACCACCACTAAACCCTTTCCTCCATTCAAAATGATAGACCTCTAAGAAATTAAAAATCAGCGGTAGATTTCTATCTAATAGTTCGATGCAAATGTAAAGAATCAATTGTTCTATCTCAATAAAATATTTGAAACGAACCAGAACAGTAAAATTCTGAGGACATAATTTGAAGACTTTGGAGAAGATGAGGATGAGCTATTCAAAGCTTATGAAAATTTAAACATCCATCAGATAAGGAGACTAAGCAAAATAGATATGAACTAGTTGAGAAATTACGCCAAGTCTCTTTCAACTAACTAAAAAAATACTGTAAATTTTATAGAGACGCCCATCTATGAGTCATCAAAACTCCTCAAGGCATAAACTACCTAAAATCAAAGTATTTTAGCTCTATCTAGAGATGCTTCTTAGGGTAATACTAATTTTAAAGCAATTAATGAATATTCTGCATCGAATGGTTAAGATATAGCTGCAGCATTAGGTGGAATACAAGAAAAGAAATTTACGTCAATTCTCAAAGTTAAAGGAATTCTCGATCCAAAACCAATTAAATCCTAGAGAGTTATGAGTGCTGATCCAAGGAAAAAGGCATTCTTCAAAAATCTTGATAGAATAACAGAGGCCTCTGAAATCATTGAAAATCTAAGAAGTTAGAATGAATAGAGCATAAAGTTCCTGAAAATATTGAGACAGCAAAACTAAATGAAAGAAGAGAAAAAAATAAATCTGTAGATAGTAAATGAGGTCAGAAAAGGTAGAAGATTTACAGTTTTTAATCCTAAGCAAAATACAAGTAAAAGAGATGAAGAGAAATGCTAGCTACAAGATTCTACAGAAATTTATAATGATAGCCACAGTTAAAGTTAGAAGGTGAGTGGAAGTATTCAAAACTAAATACGAAAAAATAGAAGTAAAAGTAAGAACTCACAAAACGATGATAAAGAATCTCATTTTGAAAAGACAGGAACATCTTTAGAATAAAATACCAAGCTAACTCTTAATACTAAACGCAAAAGTCTTCAATCACACGTGAACTCTAATACATCACTTCATAATGAAAAGAAAAAAATAGAAAAGACCAGTTTCGATGCAAACAAAACTAACTATTATTCCGATATAAATAATTCAACATAAGGTAAATTTATCAATCAAAGATCCCGACCAGTATCGCATTACTCTTCAATTTACCATAGAATTTAGCGTAATAACACCAATGCTATACAATCACTATAGTAATCTGATCGGCCAATGTCTCAAGAGAAATATAAAACTACATCACTCAATAATGATGCACAGGAAGCAGTAATAACTGCGAGCCAAACCAATAGTTACACAGTTTCACATCCTCAAACAAGATAATAGCTTAAGCGACAAATTTCTAACCCTAAATCAGTAGGAGTGAAATTTAAGACTTATAGATCTAGAACTAACTAAAATACTACTACGCTTGCTGATGAAAATGATAATAGCAAAGAATTTTTGGATTAAAAACTTTATAAAGTTAATAAAGCCAAAGAATAGTTAAAGGTGATCAAGGATATTACATCCTAAAGGCATAGATAGCGTACCCCAAAGAAAGAATAGTCTAATAAAAAGAAGTATTTGAGAATGTATGAATGGAATAAAAAATTTGTTCATGGCAGCAAGAAATCTCGAGAAGTTATGAGTCTACTTAATGAGATGCCTAATCAATACAAACTAAACCTAATAACTTAATTTTAGCAATTGATTAATATCCCTGAACAAAAGTTAAGGTTGAAGAGAAATTCTAATTACTCAGGTATAAATAGCACTTTTTAGCAGAAGGGAAATATCTACATAATTTGAAAAACTTAAAATATATATAAATTTGAGCATAATTAACCTTAAATTAATATATTTGAGGTTGAAAATAATGTATTTTATTTATGATTATAGATTTCATATAAATTGAACAACACTCATCTAACGGGGTTTTGGGGTTTTGGGGAGATCGGAAGAGCACACGTC